TAGAGAGAGAGAGAGAGAGAGAGAGAGAGAGAGAGAGAGAGAGAAGCTGAACCCTGTGAAGAATGCAGCGACGGCGATGAGGAGAGGACAGAGAGGTGAAGACGCTGATCAACAGAACAAAGATGTCACGCATACACAAAATCATTGCCCAGCACGCCAACACTGGGACAATCCACACACACAGATGGCTCGGCACAGAAATAAAACGACAAAGCCTGGAGGGTTATTCTTAGGCTCAGAAGAACGGATGAATACAAAAGGGTGTGTCTTTGGCTCAGCTGGTATCATGTGGGACTATGATGTGGGTGACCCTAGTTCGAATACCAACGGAGTATTTTGGAACTTGAATAGTTTTGGGATGTTTTCAAGATCTTCCAACCTCTCAGCAGAGTGCTGTCGGGGGTAGACACCAAATTTGGAAGTCCTAGCTTTTGATTAAAGACGTTAAAGAACCGTACCTAGAGTGAACCATAGAATAAACTTCATTTTCTCTCACAATTTGCGGGAAGAGCATAAACCGGAAAGAGTTTGAGAGGAGGCGTAGTTTGCGAGGTATGTACGGTAGACTGGACTAAGTCGTGCAGACATACAAAAGATGGTAAGAGTCATAAAAAACAGGGCTGCCTAACCAGATCAAGTAGCGCAGAGCACATGCAATAGAGTGATGGCTAATTAGACATTGTACAACACATATAGGCTAAAAGAGAGTTGGTTAAGCGCTGAACAAGACAGGGACAGTTCTTTTGGTTGAAAAGTGCACCAATATCACAACAATAAAAAAAGAAAAACATCGCTAGACCAATAAACCTTTTTATAGCCAGTGCCCATTTTTGCCAACTTAAGAGGCTAAATTGTCTTGCCACCCACCAACTGGTATTTCCAAGTGTAGCATTAAAAAACACCTGTCACTATCCAAATGATTCCCACCGCCCACCAAAATTACAAAACTCGCCCACTAGTGGGTGATATCATCCAGACTGGCACCCCATGCACTAGACGAAGTACATTAACCATTTACTGTACCTATAAGACGACTGCGAACTAGTCCCTCTCTTTTGGAGGTTCTTGTCAATAAAATCCGGGGATCGAGGTCTCTCAGCCTGTCGTCCAGCTCACTCTGTAGATCGTCTGAAAAGAAAAAAACAAGACACAACAATGTTAAATATGGGCGTTGCCCGATGTCGGGGATACGTGTTTAAAAGCACTTACGGCGTACGTTGAGGAATTTGTATTTACTGTTTCTGAATGTTTAACCTTGCACTACTCAGCGTGTGGTGCAATGATCAGGTTCTTCGCTTTGTCTTAAAGTAAAGAGATGTGATTTCCATTCTCCTGCGAGGAGGAAGGGGAGGGGGGATATTCTAAATCGAGTATCTCTGTCCTTCAGCTAAAGGTAGTATCTCAAACAGCCTGGGTGGGCCGTGGCAGTCAGGGTCAGAGTGGCCTTAAAAGTATTTAGATAGTGCCGATGGAGGCGTGAAATGTTGCAAAAAATCATGTCTCGGTGTTTAGAACATCTAGGGGAAACTCCTCTTCTTGCTTTCAGAAGATGCAGGGGTTATTTCTAGAGCAGTGGAATTCCCAGAAGACAGAAAACAAAAGAGACGAAAACTTGGGTCCTGAACTAGATGGGAGAAAGGGAGAACAGTAATGGGTCACAACCTATACGTTCTTATAGTAGGTCACAACGGTTTAACCATTACAATGAACAGTGACTAAGCTGGAGAAGCAGTAGGAGTTCATGCCAACAATATGGGAGTGGAATGAGAGAAAATATTTTCGGAATGTCTGTCAGTTTGAAAGACTATTCATATTGAACATTTTTATCCGCCATTTTCCCTATTATTGTTTTGTTATTATTTTTTGTTTGGGAGGGTTTGCTGTTATTGTAGTTGTAGTTATTGTTGTTGTTGCTGTTGC